GGAGATTGAAATTCTTTATCTAGAGGATCACTATTTGACAAGCCCCAGTTAAGGGAAGCTTTTCATCGAGCTACCTGTTCTGTTTTATGTGTTGTTGAAGGCGGTAGTTCGTTTGTCTGAACTTTATTAGTCCCCCAACTGGACCAACCACTTGGCTTTGAGCTTATTTGTCCAGCCCCCAAGTTTAGTTTTCTGCCAACTCTCCATTCTTTACCAGACTCATCATTTTGACTGGACTTCCAAGAATTGGAAGGTGACTCTTTCTTTTTTCCTGATGGAGATTGAAATTCTTCACCTAGAGGATCACTATTTGACGAGCCTTAGTTAAGGGAAGCTTTTCACCGAGCTACTCCCAATCTGTTTTATGTGTTGTTGAAGGCGGTAGTTCGTTTGTCTGAACTTTATTAGTCCCCCAACTGAACCAACCACTTGGCTTTGAGCTTGTTTGTCCAGCCCCCAAGTTTAGTTTTCTGTCAACCCCCTATTCCTTACCAGAGTCATCATTTTGACTGGCCTTCCAACAATTGGAAGGCAACTCTTTCTTCTTTCTTGATGGAGATTGAAATTCTTTACCTAGAGGATCACTATTTGACGGGGCCCAGTTAAGGGAAGCTTTTGACTGAGCTACCTGTTCTGTTTTCTGTGCTGTTAAATGCGGCAGTTCGTCTGTCGTAACTTTATTAGTCCCCTAATTAGACCAACCATAGTATTTTCAGGTTAATATAGTCATTTTGTCTTTTATTTGAGAGAACATGATCTTTTAATTTATTGTTTTGAAGTTAATAAAAATATATATTTTTTGAATAAAATAGAGTCAAAATTAAATATTTTTTTTTGAATAATTTCATTTTGTAGAGATTAGTTTCATGAAATTTAACTTAGGAAAAAACGTTAATCTTTCCATACACTTAGTAATTTTAATTGAAATTCATATTATGAAATTCATATTTGTCATTTTTTTGAAAGATAAAATTGACTTTAACCCCCTTTGGTTTACTCCACGTGTGATTTACCTCTGATATTTGAAAATAAGAACATAACCCCCTTATGACCTAGCACATGTTTCACACTTGATGTTAATTTGGATTGAACGTCTGACGGTATACTTCATTTAGTCCACAAACCACAAGAACATTATAGTTATTTCCAAATTATATGGGTAGTTTGCACGTGCACATTGAAGTGAAATTTGCCCTTTATTAAATATGCACAATGTCTTGAATTGAATAAATACACCTAGAGGGTAAAATAGTATAGTAAAATAAATCAGGTGACAAATACCATTTCTCATATAGTATAATAGACGGTAGATTCAAGTATACAACCCCACCTTGATATTACCAAGTGAAATACTGAATAAAGGTGTATTTATATTTAGTACTATTATAAAGAGAAGTCTTCTCTGGGTGTTTATGTCTCATATTTTGGATTTTCTATTAGATAATTAGATAATTTTCTCAGTTTTATTAGATAATTTCGCAAACTGAGAAATTGTTAGTTTTGTAGAACTAAAAAAATAATATTTTATTTTTATTAAATTTTAAATTCAATATTGGTCAGGTTTGATAAATCTCATTGTGTAGACTCCAAAAATGTATATTTTATTAAAAATAAATGTGTATAATAAAAATTATGAAATTTGTAAGTTTTGAAAAAAAAAAAAAAAATTCCACATCAGCAATACTATTTTGAATAAGAGAATATCTAGTACTTTTGAGGCATGGTTAGGTGATTTTCAAAATATTTATGATTGATGGGGAGGGTGGGGCCTACAATTTTGTATTAGGGCATAAGGCATAATGCTTGGTAATTAGTGGATAACATTGTCATGTGGTGCAGTTGTAACACCTAATAATTTTCTACTAACACTCAAGGAATTGACACAATTCCTTCTTCTTTTAATAAAGGTAAAACAATTTTACATAAAGGATCTTTCCCCTAAAAAAAATGTAGATGATTTTCATTAGTAATAAAAGGCAAATTGAATCCATAGTCGTGCAGTTTGCTTCTTGTCTCAAATCAATTTGATTCTTGAAGCTCTAATTGCATCAACTTTTATCCTTTAATTTTACACAATGCATGAATTAAGTGCAACGGATAATATCTATGAAGAGATTAGACCAAAATCAAATGCAAAATAATTCATTCAAAAGGGAATAGATCACTCACACTAATCCCTTAATTACTTTGAGAATAATAAATTGACTATTTTAGTCTTGATTTTAATCCAATTTCTAAACACTGAATAAAAGTGAAATACTGAATAAAGGTGTATATATATCTAGTACTATTATAAAGAGAAGTCTTCTTTGGGTGTTTATGTCTCATATTTTGGGTTTTTCAAAAATACCCCTATATCAGTTATATGGGCAGTTATGCACTAAATTCATTTTCATTTTTTTATTTTTTTATTTTTCAAATCTGTCAACTTTTGAATTTTTCAGATTCATTTCAATTTTCAGATTTTGAATTCAATCATACAGTTTACAGTCTTATTTTCTGAAACAAAATGATCATATATATGTAGCATGTGGACCTCGAATTGAAATTGCCAGTCCACCTTAATTCTCAATTCATTAATGTCATAATATGAATTTCAATTCTCAATTCTCAATTAACAAGCAAAAAATAAGAAGCAAAATATGAATTTCAATTCTCAATTCTCATAATACGAATTAGGGTTTTGTATTCACAATATAAATTTCAATTCGAAATTCTCAATTAGGGTTTTGAATTTCATAATATGAATTTCAATTCTCAATTCTCAATTTTCAATTCTCAATTCTTTTTATTAACAAGCAAAAAATATAATTTCCAATTCAAAATTCCAAACCCTAATTTCAAAAAATATAGATAGGATTCACAATTCAAAAAGGCAAAAAATATAGACATTATTCAAAATTCAAAACCCTAATTTCTGAAACCACAAGCATAATTTCTGATTTCACAATTCAAAACCCTAACATTTTATGATTTCATAATTTCATAACCACACATTTAAAACCGTAACACATTTCATAATTCAAAACCCTAACACATACAATTTATGATTTCATAATTTCAAAACCCTAACACATACAATTCAAAACCCTAACACAAGCATAATTTATGATTTCATAATTTCATAACCACACATTTCATAATTGAAAACCCTAACACATTTATGATTTCATAACCCTAATTTCTAATTTCATAATTTATGATTTCACATTCAATTGAAAACCCTACAAAATTTTCACAATTCAAAACCACAACATTTTTTACCAATTCAAAACCCCACATCCACATTTTAACAATTACAATAAGCACACAAAATTCAAATGAGACAGAGAGAGATAGATGCCATACCACAGAGAGAGAGAGAGAGAGAGAGAGAGAGAGAGCAGAGACAAAAAGTGAGAGCAGAGAGAGAGTCTAAGAGCAGAGGGAGAGCGAGAGTGAGAGTCTGAGCGCAGAGGGAGAGCGAGAGCAAGAGTGAGAGCAGAGTAGAGGGGAGATCGAGAGCGAGAGTTTGAGAAAAACATAAGTGTAAAAAACGTGATTCAAATGAGGGGGCTTGGGGGTTTTTATATAAGTTGTAAAAGCGTGGTTTCAATCCACGCTTTCATTTATCAACAGTGAAAGCGTGATTGTGAATCACGTTTTCTTAACAAAACAAATATGCACAGTGAAAGCGTGATTATGAATCACGTTTTCTTAAGAATAGAATATGCACAGTGAAAACGTGGTTTGTTTTCTTCAGAAAACTCATGCACAGTGAAAGTGTGGTTTGGAACCACATTTTCTTCAGAAAACAAATTTATGTTAAAAGCGTGGTTTGTAACCACGCTTTCTTAATTAAAAGCGTGGTTTGTAATAGCTCTTTCACTATTCATCAAATTTTCTACTCCAAACAGTGAAAGCATGATTTGTAATAGCGCTTTAGCCTAGTTTGGGAAATCCGTCCAAACTAGGCCTAGTTTGGGAATTAAGATAGTAAATTGGCTTAATATGGGAAAAGCCTCAACTTTTTTCACCAATCTTTAATTTTTTCATTTGCCAAATAGCTCCCAACGGCTAGCATACCCCATGTTCATTTGTAATGTAGAGTTTTTCATTTGTAATGTAGAGTTTTTCACTTGTAATGTAGAGTTTTTCATTTGTAACCGTCGTTCGGAACTGGTTTTCCGAAATATAACAATTTGTTCGGACGTAGAAATCTGAAAATAATCAATAATTTCATCAGTAGATTTCAGTAAATGTTTCATTGTTTCGATAGTCAACTTCCAAAAAATTTGAATTTGGACAACACTCAATTTCCGAAATTATGTTTGTGTTTCGGATTTGAACTTCCGAACAAAATATGTATTTTCGGTTGTGAACTTCCGAACAGTTTTTTTTTTCCCCTTCTGTTGTATATTGTTGTTTGAAGGGAGCTTATATTTCCACATCCCCATTCCCCTCTTTACACACACTTAATAAACACACTTATTATAATTTACACACAGTTATTATAATTTTGTTAAACACTTATTAGTAATTTCACTTGAATGAACACTTACTATAATTTCCCCACCATGACCATGTATATTGTTGTTTGCATGGGCATTCTTTATTTACACACACTTATTATAATTTTACACACACTCTCATTACACACACTTATTATAATTTTACACACACTCTCATTAATTTTACACACACTCTCTTTATTTACACACACTTGTTTGCATGGCCATTCTTTAGTTACACACACTCATTACACACACTTATTATTTTTTGGAGATAATATGGATTCTGAATGTCAACAATGTGTACCACCTACTGCTTCAAATAGACGACGTCGTGAATTGGATGTAGACCATGAACGGGGACGAGGGCGTGGGCGAGGACGAGGTCAAGGTCGTGGTCGTGGTCGAGGTCGTGATCCAGTTTCGATAGAATATGATATCACCAGTGCCAGTCAAAGTCGGAGCCGAAGCCAAAGATGAGTTCAAGGTTATGATATGTTTGACATTGCTATGGAGGATGCCTCTTTACCTGATTATCCGCCTGTCCAGGAAGAGGACCTTACTCATGCTTTTCCAGGTGGATTGACTGATCCATCAATACTGCGGAGTTTCAATAGTCATGCTGCTGCAGCGTTTGGCACGGGGAGGTAAACATTCCTGAGTAGAAGTGAAATTCATTTGTATATGAATTTTTTTTCCTCTGTGTGTGTTGTATGGTAGTTTGTAATGAGATATTATTTGTGTTATAGGAACGAGGTCCCCTAAAGTGTCATAATCACTCTTCGAAGATCCTTGCATGGCCATGGTGGTCAGTAGACAACAACACCAGATTCAAAGCCATTATTGAGCAGTCTGGGCTATCACAGTTAGCTCGTTGCACTTATCGGTTCGTCAACAAGCTTCTAATCTCCAGTTTTGTTGAGAGATGGCAACCTGAGATGAACATATTTCACATGACAGTTGGTGAGATGACCTTGACCCTGGATGGTGTTGGCACTATTCTTGGCCTTCCCATTGTAGGCAAATCAGTCAGCGTACCAGATGTGACAGATCATCATGGAGTTACACTACTGGTTTATGGCTTGGGGATTACTGAACGTGCAGCACATGAAGAGGTTTCTTCTATTGGTGGCAATTCAGTCAGGCTTGAGTGGTTGCGCAGTCAGTTTGCTGGTGTCACAGATTCAGACCCCGATGAGGCTATACAGTGCGCTGCTAGAGCTTATTTGTTGTTTCTGTTGGGATGTACACTCTTCAGTGACAAGAGTGGCGGCAGGGTTCCTGTTGTTTACCTTGGCTTATTGATGGATTTGGGATCCATTCATACTTACGTCTGGGGTGCTGCTGCATTAGCATTTTTATACAGACAGTTGGGGTATGCTAGCCGGTCCGGGGTTAAACAGATGGGTGGTTATATGAATCTTTTGGAGGCGTGGATTTATGAGCACTTCCGAGCATTCCGACCTCACTAGAACATAGGCTACAGTGAAGACATGCCACACGTGTACCATTGGGCATCTAGGAGAGAGGCGGGTTCCTCCATTGATCATTTGAAATCTTTTCGAGCTGAGGTTGACAGTTTGGTAGCTACTGATGTAAGTTTACTCATCCTGAGATAATTTTAACACTTTCCATTTATCTTACCCTTTGTATACTTTAATTCAAAAACACTTTACGTTTACAGGCTATTTGGGATCCATACCACAGCTGCAGAGATCGGCATCCATGTAACCTGGTTACGTTCTACCATGGATGCTTAAAGTGCTTAGACGTTGTCAAACCCTATCATCCAGATAGAGTTCTAAGGCAGTTTGGCAGGGTTCAAACCATCCCAAATGCACCGCTAGCTCCCAGTTGTGGTGCTCGAGGCAACATATCTGCACGATATACAATCATGTATAGATACTTGGATAGGATCTGGGAGGCTTGGGATAACCACGTGTTATCTGAGCAACGGAGGAGCACACTAGTTCGTCAGCCTTGGGAATGTGTATCGGGTTACATAGATTGGTATAAGAATGTCACGCACCTATATGTTGAGCACACTGATGAACCGCATGTCCATGACCATCAGGATTTCAGCCAACATGCCGATGTAATATATTATCCTCTCTTATGCATTTGTAACTTACTTTTTATTTTATGATATGTTCCCTAAAATGTGATATTCTTTTCAAATGCAATGTATTGCACATGCACTGCAGATTTCACATCCTATTATTGACGCTGGTTATGAGGAGGAGATTCGACATCCTTATCGACTTTACCAGGCTATCGAGAGTATGACGCATGTCCTTCAAGGTCAGCACATTGACGAAGCTGGACCTAGTTCTGCTGGACCTAGTTATACTGGAGGTCGCTTTCCATCTTCGACATTGACATACAGTCGTAGGCCTAGGCATAGGCATACAGATGATTCGTGACATGTTATTTGTTAGTTGATGAATTTTTTTTGGTGTTTTTTGTAAGATGATATTGTTGTAATGGTAACAGTGGTTAATATTTTCTTATTAGAATGGAATGGCAACAATGGTATTGTAATGACATTGTAATGACATTTTATTATTAGAATGGGATGGTAACAGTGGTCGTTGATTTTTTAAATGATATTTTCTTATTACGATGGAATGGTAACAATGGTCGATAACATTCAATCCACATTGCAAAACAGAACACATCAACATCAAAAACACATCCATTAATTTCTTCCATAATTCTAACATTGTCAAATGCATACATGTGTCATGCGACATCAACAGCATCAAATGTCTCTCGAGTAGCTACATTATCATGAATCTTGAAATGTTGAATGCGACGCACATATGCATCATCCCAGTCGACAGCTCAAGGGTGACGGTATTTTCGCCAATTAGTGGCTATATCAATTGAGTTAGTAGTCATACCTCATAACTTCTTGTACATGCACAAACCCAATTGATAAGTTTCTGTTATACATGGATGAAATGATTTCCGTTGACAAACCCAATGGCAATCTCACGTCTATCAAGTTGAGGTACTGGCACTGTTCTAAGAGGTAAAAAGGTGTGACATTGCTATAAAGACTAGTGGTATAACACAAGATTGTAGCATGATGCAACAAGATGCCCCATGTTTGGCATAGTCATCTATTGTGAGTATCCAGGACTGTCTTCAAAGTATGACAATATGCTTGTCAATTCTTCAAACCTTTCGTAGGACCCATAATGTGTAATGTATTCCTCTTTGTGTGTGTGCAGCTCACCCAACAGATCACGCCTAACCTGAGCCCAATCATCTTCTCTATGACCAATTGATGCAGCTATAGCCCTGAAACCACAATTTCCATTTGCAGCTACATCCTTGACAAACTTAATGTATGGTTTCAACCCAGCAGGGAAAGCATCAACATATGCACCAGGTTTCACTGTTTTAGTAATGTATACCTTCCCTTTCGGATTCACTTTCTCCTTTCCCTTAACAGGTCGCTTCTTCTTGGTTTGCAGAGTAGAAGCTAATGTAGTGATTTTAGTGTCCCTAGGTGAGAAGGAATCATGTCCAGATTGCACCAACTCAAATGCACACGGGTCACGATGGGTAGAAACATTGATCTTCTTATGATCTCGATGACGTGTTTTGGGCTTCACCTTCGGCTCAACAAGAAAAGTGCTTCCCGGATATACAATCTCTTTTAACTTCTTCAAAAGCCCCAACCGCATGGTTATATCACTTTCATTAAACTTGTTCACAAACAACTCTACTTTTGCATGACAAGTCACCTCCGTTTCCTCTTCTTTCTAGCATATGGAGATATGAAGTTGCCTCCACTATGAGTGTATGGTAGCAAGTGGTATAGGACGATCTTGTTGGATGTAGTTAGCAATCTCATGGGCACAAGGTAAACCATGAGTGTGGCAAAGGACGCATCCACAAGCTTCAACATCAATACCAATGGAATTGGCTCTCTTACTCTCTACAAGCAAATACTCCAATGCAGAGATAGACACATTACCCCGTAGCTCCCTAAAGTGAGAAGGTTTAAATTGATGTTGCACAACAGTTAGACTTTCTCAAATGAAGCCTTGATATTAGTGTGTTGCAACTCAAGCAGACTGTGTATTTTCTCAAATGATGCCTGAAATGAGACTTGACATGAACCCAATTGTCTTTTAAGTTTTGCATGTGCACTCTCAGCCCTGTTGAATTCAATGTAAGTCAAATTAAAATCAAGTACATGGCACTTATTAATAACATATTGAAGAAAAGTAATCTTATCGGTTCGTTGTAACATTGCCACAACGCATACACGTGTCTGTCCATGCCGCCACAAATTTGTCCTTGTAAGGAACCAACCAAGTATCCATGACGTATTTGACTGCATCAGGATAACTACTGAATTCCATAAGTAATGATTTAAGACGCTCATCATATTGAATTTCAGAAGATGAATACACTAAAGAGTTCCACTCATGGTTGAACTTCTCCCATTTCTGCTGTGTCTCAAACATTTTCTTGCATTTGGTCAATACATTCTTACTGATATGCCAACGACATAATAAATGTCTGGCACTCAGGAATATCTTCTGTATGGCATTCATCAAGGCTAGCTCTCTATTAGTAACAATAATTGTTGGGACAACAAATCCATAACATCACGCAATGTAGCTAACACCCACGCATAGTTATCAACCCTCTCATACTGTAAGTATACGAAAGCTATAGAGAATGTCATTTCAGTTGATGTCACTCCCATAATTGCAAGAAGAGGAAGACGCTATCTGTTGGTTTTATATGTGCAATCCATAATTAATATACGTGGGAAAGACCGAAATAAGTCTAAACTGGTAGGATGTGCCCAAAACAAGTCTGTCACAGTCATCGTGGACTCTTCAGACCGATGGCGCTCAATGTAATTATACTTGGCCAATTCACCCAATAAGTGTTGCATCTGTGATCTTCCAGCTCTCTGTACCACCCTATTTCGATGGCGTACATTGTAAATGGTTTAAGTGTGCTTATATTGAGGGCATCTCGCTATTTTAAGGTTACTAGGATTTCTTTTGGCCGAACCATGCTCTCTGACATATCTATTAACAATGCTTTCTCATCCTTTGACAGCCCCCTCGCATATGAATGTCCATCAAGGTGCTCTGCAGGTGGATGGTTATGCTATTCGCATACTACGGTCAATGTCCATTCATCATGTGTGGTAAACCTATAAACCTTCATATCAAAAGAACAACCACACTTCTTCGTACCGGTTATTCTTGATGTATTGTTGCCATCATGTTTTAACTTCTTTGTAGCTCTATATTGGCCACTCCTCTCATAAGCAAGATACATCCTGGGTCTTTTTTTCCCTCTACCATAGTCTGATGTTTTGATTACAATGACCAAACCATTTCTCTTTCCAACTTCACGTACCCAGTTGAGCAATTCATCCTTACTTTTGAACACATACAAAGTCAAATAAATATTATCAAACATTTACATTTGGTGAGCAATTCAAAACATAATCGTTATAATTTCGTAGACTGAACCTGTTCAGTTGTGAAATGAGTGGTGTAATCTAACACAAAATCCGCGCAAACCTGACTTCCTTGAGTTGACACATATTCCTGCATGTTTTGTATAACATTACAAATTTTTAATGGCATTATAAAGATTAATTTACAATTCGAAACTATAAATTTGGTATGCAGTTTGCAAATTTGGAATATAAAATGGAAAAAAAAAATTTACTTCATTCGGAAGTAGTTGTCCGAATGTTTTTAAGCATCATTAAGAAATATATAGATATCGGTGATATAATAAAAAAAATGAATGGCCATACATATAGTACCTCATCATCAACACTTTCAAAGGACTCAGCATCAGTGTCATCCTCATGATCTGACGGTATGTAGTCATCATCATCTACCCTAATTTTCTTTCCCTTTTGATGAACACGATTGGGCTGAGTAGAACCCATCAAAGAAGTTGCTATACGCTTCAATTGTAGAGCATCCATTTTTTTATTATTCTTCTTGATTGTCTTATATCTTTCCATTTCGTACTCTGTTCGCTTCTGTTTCGCTAGAAAACCCGGTTTGACCCATTGTTTCTCCCCTTTGGCCATTTTGGTAACTAAAAAGCATAAATTGAAATAAAACATAAAATATAAAGCATAATTTTAATTGAAGAGACGCAACAAAATATAGCATAACCATGTAATGCATTAAAAACAAATGTCCATATAGAAACCTAAAAAAAACAAAAACTACATATCATAATCCATATCAGGTTCCATATCAGGATCCATATCATCATCAAGTATGCTAATTTCTTCATCTTCTTCGTCATCTCTACCATCTCTCTTTGTTTTATTTGAAATAACCTCAGCTTCAATATCATCCCTATGAAATCGAATAATATCTTCAATGTTGATCGGGACAACTGAGTTAATGTTTTCTTGTTGGAATGCATCATTAAATTCTGGTTGATCTGGTGGTTCTCCATCACCAACCTCTGGCACATCAAACACACCTCTATGTTGGACCCGTTGCACGACTTGCCAAGGTTGCCCCCATTTGGTGTCATTCAGGTAGAACACTAGCTTAGCTTGACTAGGCAAGATAAAAGGGTCAGATTGATACCATCGGCTTGTGACATCGATGCTTGTGCAATATGTGTCAGCTCGTACTGTTCTACTTCTACCAGTGTTACCGGTGTTGTACCATTCACATTGAAACAAAACAACTTTATTTTGACACATGTACTCAAATTCCCAAATATTACACAAGTGACCGTAGAATTCGTGCATCTCTCCCTTGTAGTTCCCTTCGGTAAGCACACCACTGTTTTGACTCTGACGACGATTGTCTAATTCCTTCGTATGGAATCTTACACCATTGATTATACAACCCGAGTACTCTTTCACTAGCAAATTAGGACCATTCGCTAATGACCACAATTCTTCGATTGCTTCTGGTGCCTCATCAACTCTCAATCTATTTATCTACATCCACATGCAATGTGCAACACTTGAATTATGTTAGGAATGTTTGTATTTTATACAAGCCTAATAGTGTTTGGCCAATTGTGAATATTAAAAATGACTTACAAATTCTTTGAACCACTTTGGAAATTCCTTCTGTTGTATCTGAGTTATATCTTGTCCACTGGGAATTTGTAACAAATTCTTATGTTCCCTACTCAAATAGTTTTGGTTAATGAGTGAAATACCACTATTATGAATGACTAATAACATGAAAATTGTTAAAATATATATAATTATAAGAAACACGTACTGAAGATACTTCTCTATCTCAGGGCTATTATATAATAAGAACCAATGAGCAATATCACGAAGTTCCTGTGACATCTCAACATGCTTTCTGATTTGGCCAATAGGACGAGCAGTTTCGGTGAATATTATCAAACCTTCACGACGGACTCCATAATCTTCATTTCGTGCATCTCGATTATGCACGGTTTCAATCCCTTCAAGATACATTGAGCAAAAAGTAATGCACTCCTTAACAATGTAAGCCTCTGCAATAGAACCTTCTGGTCGAGCTCAATTGGTGACAAACTTTTTCAAAGTCACCTTCAACGTCTTTGAACATTGTTGTTGGAAGAAATTTCCTAACTCAAACAAAGTCGTACCAATTTCATTGTTAAGATACCTGCGCATCCCAACTGGAAGTAGTCGGTGTACAAGCACATGACAATCATGACTTTTGAGGCCTGAGATTTTGCCACTGTCAGTATTCACGCAATTGGAGATGTTTGCTTCATAACCATCGGGATACTTTATTGATTTCAAAAAAGCACCAAAGCCTTGTGTTTCTTTCGTAGATAATGCGTACACAGCTGGAGGCTTCACAAATGACCCATCACCATGACTCTGTAGGTGTAACTCCTTCCGAATTTTTAAATTTGCTAAATCAATCCGTGCTTTTTCTGTGTCCTTGTTCTTCCTATCCACATTTAATAATGTCCCCATCAAATTGTCACAAATGTTCTTCTCTATGTGCATGACATCAATGTTGTGTCGAAGCCTCCTTTTCTTCTAATACGGTAGCTTATACAAGATGCTTACCTTTGTCCAATTTGGGTTCTGACGAGGTCTTTTCCTGTTGCTTGGATGTTTTCCATATGTGACACCCGTCACGCTGCCCAATTGTTCTTCAATCTTTTCTATCGGTATCACCAAAGATCTCTTCCGTTTTTCATGCTTGCCATTATATGCTCTACTCTTTCGCCTTTCTGGGTGGTCATCAGGCAAGTAGCATCGATGGTTACTGTACGCAGTCTTACTTCTTAAAGATTCAAAATATGGTTCATCATTGCAAGTGTAACAAGAGTAATGACCCTTTGTTCTCCATCCAGAAATGTCACCAAATGCGGGCCAATCATGTATCGTCCACAGCAAAGCTGCACGCATGCAGAAAGTCTCACCAGTCGAGGCATCATAGGTTAATGTACCATTTTTCCATAATTCATTCAATTCTTCCACTAAAGGTCTCATGTAGACATCAATATCAATTCCTGGTTGTGATTCACCAGGAATAAGTAATGACAGCATGAAAAATGGGTCCTTCATAGCCAACCACGGTGGCAAGTTGTACGGAATGAGTACGACAGGCCACAAACTATATGAGTTATTCATATTTCCGAAAGGGTTGAAACCATCAGTAGCCAACCCTAGCCTCACATTCCGAGGCTCCAAGGCAAATTCAGGATGTTGTGTATCGAATTCCTTCCACTCATCACTATCTGCAGGATGCCTCAATACACCGTCATCTAGACGTTTTTCCTCGGCTCTCTTCCTCGACATGTACAACCTTTTCAATCTCGGTGTTAACGGGAAGTATCGAAGAACCTTACGAGAGATCTTCTTACCTCTACCATGATTTGTCTTGTATCTAGAAGCCTTACAATTTGGACATTTATCTGGTGTTGCATTCCCCTTCCAAAAGAGCACACAATCGTTTACACAAGCATCAATGAGCTCGTATGACAAACCCAATTCACGTAGTATTTTTTTAGCTTCATAAGTTGACTTTGGAACCAAATTATCCTTCGGTAAAAGTTTTGTTAAAAACTCTAGCATCATGTCAACTGACTTATTACTCCAATGGTTTGTTACCTTCATATTAAGTATCTCGATGACAAATTTTAACAAAGTGTAATTTGTGCAACCTGGGTACACCTCACGTTTGGCATCATTCAATAATTTATCAAAAGTGCGAACCTCCTCCTCTTGAGTTGTATTACTTGATTCCCCTCTTATTTGATCTTCCACTAAGGCATCAATACCTCCCAAAACCTCATTGCCCTCAACGGGTATATCATGATGATAAGCCTCATTTGATTCACGGGGTTCCCCGTGCACGTGCTAGATAGTGTAAGTTGGAATAATCCCATGTTGCAGCAAATGAATTTGAACAATTTGAAAATTTTGACGAACGACATTCACACACTTTTGACAAGGGCACAAAATTTTACCATCTCGATCGATAACCGCCATTGCAAAACGAAGAAATGATATTATCCCATCATTATATGCCCGACTTATCCTTCCATCAACTGTGCTACCTAATGCAATCCAACTCTTGTCCATGTCTGACTATGCCGAGTTAATTAAAGTTAGGTGAATAGGACAAATTTTATATAGAAAAATATATATATACTTTAATTAAAAAAAATTTCAAGTCCAATGATTATACTGAGTTATATAAATTACAACCACACATAAATCAAGTGAGAAAATAGCCAAAGCAATTTAGCGTAAACAGAAGAAGTATTCATAACCAAAACATAAACCACAGCGAAATAACCATCAATAAGAAGACAAATATCATAATTTGTAGAAAATTTAACCAATAAAGCAGTTAGCTGAGAGTAAAAAGCAGATAACATGACACAAAAAGAAAACCCACAATATGCCACATTGAGTTTCTAAAGCTGTCAATTTAAGTACTCAAATATCCAAATGCAAAATGTTATGATTGAACTGCACGTGAAAAATATATATATGCCCCGAATACCAGAATTAACACATCTATCAAGTAAATTGGGATATTGAAAAAATAATACATTGGGAAACAATAACTATTCTGGCTCACATTTCACTCGGTAAACAAAATGTGATTAAATTATGCAGAGGAACTTAATAATGTACTTAAGGAGCTTTGCATATAAGAAATGAACGATGCCAATAGAATTGATAGCCACATGCGACAATTCCAATGAATGCCCCGAGACTATAATTTAGTACTTATGGCCTGTTACTGCAGTTCGTACTCTGTTTGATTTTCTCTTTACTCAACTATATACGAAGTCTAGAGAAGTTAAAGCAAGATATGCTAATCTGTTGGGTGTAATATTCCAATTTTCATTAAATCGAGAGTTGTGAGAGAAAAAATAATTAATTAATATGTAATATATAATATATAATATTTTATCTTATTGATTATTTTAATATTTTTTATTTTTATTGACTATTTTAGCCAAAATCTATCATCCCAAACATATAGACTCAAACTACCCTAAATTTTATAAATATATTGACTTTTTTTAAATAAAAAAAATCAACAAAATAAAAGTTTCTTGATGAAAATTGCAGACGTACAAAGAGAGTGTACAATATCCAGATACATCAATAAGAAAATCCATGGAGAAATGCATCAAACTGAAACACAAATGAAAGACAAATTGGAATATGATATCAGAACACCAAAAGCAAGATATTGATCTCAGAACATTAAAAAGATATTCACTTCAAGCAGACAAAGCTCAAAGATATTATATATACTAATCAGGTCTCCGCATCTCAGTTTTTTGTCACTAATTTTGTTTGGCATCCAACGTGCCTTTTTAAATGAAGGTGCATAATGCTAAGGGCACAAAGGGAGCTAGTAAAAGTAATTCAAAACATAATTAGCAAATAAAGTATATAGCGTAAAATTAAACTTAATCTCACCTATTTTCTTCAGCAAAAATTAAGATTTATTGATGTAAAAGAAAAGGTTATAGAAGTACACCGCAAATACAAAATGAAACTTAAAGCTGTTTTGGGAATAAATTAAAAAATATTACAAAAATAGTCAACTCTTTTCTTTCCGTTTTTATACGTTTTCTTATAAATAAATAAAAAATCAAAAATGAACTTTTCAAAACAACCGTTAATATGATTAACATTCACAATTCATTTAATTTTCAAATAAATTTTTCAAGCTTTGTAATGTTGCTATAAATGAGAATTAGTATATAGAATTAGATACAAACATGGGTTCATTTTAGGGCAACTTAGAGTTGACTCTCTTATATGTTTCATATGGGATTTGAGGAATCAAAGATTGTAAACTAATCAACTCAACATTTATATGCTAAGAAAGTAAAGCATGCAGTGGTCCTTGAGAACAAAGTAGAAATGAAAAGTGAGAATAAATACTAGTGTGGCGATTTTCAGAAGCCATTCTTCAATATAATTGTTTTCAAATACATACTACATAGGTTTAACTTCAACTACAATGACAAAATCTTATCTAATTGAAATTATAGTCCTTGATAGGGCATAATGGTAGTAGAATAAGATACCCTAGCTACTCGTGATAAGGCCTTATCTTTGTGTGCACTACGACGTATGCCACAATGGAGTAAATAATAAAAATAATTTGTAATATGCTCTTTCTTCCTTTTAGCTGCAACCCCTTTGAAAACTTGGGAGTACAGGGCAAACCATGACCAAGTTGACAAACATGAGTTTGACTTTAGAAATCAATACAAATAATACCGGGCATTGGGCTTTGACAATGAATTATCATATCATAAATAGCATGCACAGCAGACCAGTTACTGGTATATTTCAAAGACAAGAAATAGTTGACATAATACTAAAACCAAACATACTAAGCCCTGGTTTTGAAGACTCGGTCAATGGGCCACGATGAAGAATCTGACACAAGAAGATAACCAATTCATGATAAAGAAATCCATTATCTGGGTCCAGAATGTTTGATACTTTGTTGGACATGATAACACAATACTTTGACTTTGTACATACAGTTTCTTCATCATGCCAGCTTGCAGAAATGCATTTATGATTCAGCAAACCCATCCTAAACCTAACCTCAAACACCAAGTCTCTAATGAATATATAACAAGAGCTAACATTCTGCTTCCAATGAAGAATTCTACTACAATTAAAGCTGGAATCCCACATTTGCAACCAACTCTCTAATGATATATAACAAGAGCTCTAATTGTGCTAACATTACAATATAATTCATTTGTTTTCAATATAATTCAAGAGTACAGCACAAACTTATTAAATTACAAAATAGGCTAATCATAGGCTAATTAAATTAACCAAACATACTAACCCCTGGTTCTGAAGACTCAATCAATAAATTATATAAATTATGTCCATACTTCCTGCTTCTTTGAAAACAACTTCAATTCCCTATAAATGACTAAATGTCATTGTCCCGTAACAGAAAGGATGCCCAAAAAAAATGCTGGATATATAATTCAAAAAATAAGTGGAAAAATAATTCATCTGTAAAGAATTAGCAAGTAAATGAGTGGTGGAGAGGGAGGGAAGTTCCTGCATTAGTTTGTGATGCAGACAAAATTATTCTAATGCAGTCAGATTGGGTCAAAAGGGACGACTATTTACAAGTTATTGTTTGCATTTCCATTTCCAACATTATATTCCATTACTAATATTTTCTTTATTTCCATTTATTGCATTGGTCAAAAATCAACCATTCACATCTTATAAATAGATCAAATTAACACCATCCCACTACTATGTAAAGCTGTTGAAAGAAATGAAAAGAACCTAGGCCCTCAGACTCTTGTGGGGAGGGGAAATTGCAAAAAACGGAAAGGCTTACATAAGGAATTTCTTTCTTTCCCCTTCAAAAGCAGGACTTTTTCTTCCCAGTATCAGTGCTTCCAGAAATTCCTGAAACAGAAACATCAAAGGTATACAAAATTACTAATGGATAAATTGACGTAAGTTACTTATCAGTGAAACATAAACAAAAATTGAAGAAACCAATGATACTCATTCTAGTGTAGTCATCACACAAATTTACAATGAACAGAAAATTATGCATTCTTAACAGGGGAACCAACTATTAATTTGCCTACTCAAAATATGTAATGTGAACAATTACTAAATTTTTCACCAACAGCAGCCAATTGCACAGAAAGAAAAATAATTGACAATAGCATTCAAACCAAAATGTGCACTAAATGGTATAGGTTTTTGTATGAAGCCAAATTTATTTCTCCTTTCTCTTCAACTAGAGCAGTTCTTAAGATTCCCCAACAGCACCTGCAACTTTATTTGGTTATCTGGTATGCATCCAAAAAGACAATCTTTTGCAATGCTTTAGTATTTCAGCTTCAAATGAAGACCTCAAACCAAGCCCCCCTCCCTCTCTCTCTCTCTCTCTCTCTTACAGAGCAGCCAAAACCCCTACACAAGGCAGTGGTAACATGTTGAATGAATCTTAACCACTCTACTAATGAGGTATGCCTCCTGTATACTACTCCCACTGAGTTTGGATTCCAGAATCTTATTCTTCTGATACTCACTCTTAAATTACATCGTAATCTTCTTAATTATTTACCAAAACCTATTAAATGCTTCCAGAACAACATCCTTTCCTAAGCTTAAAGGCTCTCCCAATTGAAAAGAGCATAATTCTATAAAAAGCATAATTCTATAAAAAGCATAGAGTTAGCTTATTTGAAATCACACGATGGTTGGCCATGGAAATAATAACACAATAAAAGCTTTGATTGCTGGTGATTTATCAGTGAAACAAGACTTGCCAAAATTGCTCAAGTACCTATGTCGACACGAAGATGAAAGGGGTCTTGCAATAGGTAACAATCCAAATCATACAAAATATTCACATTTAGTCAAGGGCTTTTACTAAATTCAAACTGTTAATTATAATCAATAGGACATTCATTCTCCAGTTTATAGCAGAAACAAGCAAAAGACATTGAGGGACTTTTTGACTTTTTTAACTTTTTTTATGAGAGAAGAGTGTAATGATTGTGGGTTGGATGTGATGTTTTGTTTATTGTGACTAAAATAGTCTATTTTGTCTTTTGTGGCTAAATTAGCCCAAAAAAATCCACAAAACCACTTCCCAAACGGTGCCTTAAGAATTTAGTTGCCAAAAGTTATACAATAGGCGACTAAAAATTACATTGGTTTGTTGCAAAGCAGTTAAAAAAATATTGGTTAGCGTTAGTTTAGGTTTTAAGCTACTAAAATTTGTTTTAGTCATGGTATACTAATTTTTGCCGACTAAATTAAAATTACTAGCCAAATAACTAGCATTATTTTACTTTAAATCTTTGGCGACTACCTAATTTGGTAAGCAAATATACATTTTCGGTGACCAAAAAATATTTAGTTGTTGTATACTAATTTTTCCCGACTAAAATAAATTTAGTAGCCAAATGACTAGCATAATTTTATTTTAAATCTTTGGTGACTACCTAATTTAGTAGCCAAATATTGATCTTCAATGACTAAAAAACATTTTAGTCGTTTGCATATTAATTTTTGATGACTAAAGAAATATAGTCACTAAAAAACTAACATAAATATTAAATTTAATCTTTAGTGATGAAAAATTTAGTCACTAAATATATATTTTCGGTTAGTAAAAATATTTAGTCAACAACGGTTTTTTTTGGTGTATTACAAAATTTTCGCCCAATTCACTAGTTATGTTTTATTTTATGGAAAATGAGTGAGAGCATTAATTAGTGTATCACTAATGATGTGGCAGTGGCCTCACCAGAAATGATTTGATGTTTTGGCCTTAGTGTTGTATTTTTTTTTTATTGAGTATCATGTCATTAGTAGTCTTTTTAGAGTTCCAAAATTAATAATCTCTATCATTGTTGTTATTTTATTATTATTTTTTATTTCTGTACATCAGTGTCAACATACACCCAAACAAAAGTCACTTGCTCTCCCTCTTCTCACAAACCCACCATCCCTGCTACAAGTCATCGTCAAACTTCCACCGCCGCTAACCATCGCGGCTCTCCCCTTTCATTCACATTCATGTTTTTTCTCTCTCTCTCTCTCTCTCTCTCTCTTCCCTTAGCATCGCGGACCTAGGGTTTTATTTTACTTTTGATGTTGTAGGATTTTGATAAAATCAATTTAGGGTTTTACCCTTTTTCTACATTTGAAGCATATACGAGCTCCAAGTTGTGCTTAATTCTACACTTCTGTTGCTCTATTTAAGCAATTGTGAAAAAACTGCTTAAATTGCTAAGTAGAGTTATATATATACATACGTATATATATAAATTGTATAATTGGTAATCTGTATGTATATCAGATTCTATGTTTCTTGTTTCAGTCCTGGCATCCCTATTTCCCTGCATCTCTCCCCAATTCCAAAGATAAAATCATTTTAGGGTTTCAATTGTTTCCTTGTGATTTCTAGCTTTGGGAATGCTAAACAAGAAAGAAGCAATTCTGGTTTAATGAATTTAATTTAATAATTTTTTTTTTTTTTGGAGGGGGGGAACTTAGTCGTAAGCCCTTCCAGAAAACTCACTTCAATAAAACAAACATTGCAAGGCTTTGTGTGTGTGTGTGTGTGTGTGTGTGAGAGAGAGAGAGAGAGAGAGAGAGAGAGTAACACAGATTCTCTGTTGCATGTGTAGTGTAGTTGCTACTACATATTGTGTTCATTTTATTCTAGTGGGATCTATTACACTGTGTTTGGATTGAGTGATTTGGAGAGAAAAGAAAAGAAATAGAGAGAAATGTATTTCTCTTCCTTGTTTGGTTATCTTAAGTGGAGAGAAATGGAGAGAAACTCATTTCTCTTATAACTCTTATTTTCAATTCTCCCAAAAGTGGAGAGATTGGGAGAGAAAAGAAACCAACAAATGTTTATATTTTCATAATACTGATTCAAAAATAAAAAATAAAAATAAAAAGCGAGGGAAAAATAATCTAGCAAAACTGATAAAAAAAAAAAAAACAAAGGAGGGAAAAATAAATAGACTTTTTTTTCAGACGTCTGAGTCTTAAGGTCGGTCAAAAATGGGGTGTCTACAGTGACAAAATAATTTTCTCACTAAAAGGCCTATAAATATTAAAAATTATTAGTGATGAAAATATATTTCTCACCAAATGGTCTTAAAATATTTAAAATCAAGTTTTTTAACAAAATAAATTAGATTATTGGTGACGTATATTCCTCATTGATAATTTTTTAATTGTTGGAAAAAAAAGATTCTCACCAAAAGTTTCAAAATTTTGGCACCATCAAAACAAATTAGTGAAAAAAATTTAGGTGACGAAACTTATTTTTTTGTCACCTAAAAGTAAGTATTTATTGACGGAAATAAATTTCGTCACCTATTATTTTTATTTTTTTATTATACATGACAAAATTTATAATTCCTCATGGATTATTCTTATTTAGTGAGAAATTTGTTTTCTTCACTAATTTTCGTCACCATACCAAAACAGAGAATAAGAGAAAGAGACGCCAGAAAAAGAGCAAAGAGATATCACGTACCAAATCACCAAGCGAAGAAGATGTGGCAGTTATCGGCAAGGCTACTAGTGGCAGCGACGATTGGCAAGGCTACTAGGGGCGGCGATGGCGATCAGCGTGGTGGAGGAGCAAGAGGTAAGAAAAATTAATACCCTATTTTAAGAGAGAGAGAGATGATAAACAGAAAAAGGGTAAAAAAAAATTAATACCCTTTTTTTTTTATTGCCGCTCAATATATCAAAAATTTCCCACAAAAAATGGTGACAATATTATTTCCTCACCAAAACATATCAAAAATATTAAAACATTTTGGTGACGAAAATATATTCCTCACAAATAATTTTATAATTAGTGACAAATTTTTTTCTCACCAAAAGTCCCAAAATTTTGGCGCCACCCAAAAAAAATAGCGGGAAAATTTTTGGTGACGAAACTTAATTTTTCCTCACTTAAAATGAAGTATTTATTGACGAAAATAAATTTTGTCACCTATCATTTTTATTTTTTTATTATATGTGACAAAATTTATAAATTCCTCACGAATTATTTTTATTTAGTGACGAATTTTATTTTCTTCACTAGTTTTCGTCACCATAGGTTACTTTTGTTGTAGTGGAATTTGAATAAAAATGAAAGTTGAATAAAAATAAAAATGAAAGTTGTAGAAAATTAAATATGGAAGTTCAATCTAGAAACCACTATACCTTAACGATCTATTTGGAAATTAAATAAAACAGGAAGTTTAATAGAAAAGTAAATTGAATAAAAATGGAAGTTGTATAAAAAAAAAAATGAAAGTTGCATAAAATTTGGTAGTTTACGCCGATTGCGTTTAGTTAATAAAAATAAAAATGGAAGTTGCAGAAAATTAAAAATGGAAGTTCATTCCAGAAACCACTATACCTCAACGATCTATTTGGAAATTAAATAAAAAAGGAAGTTTAATAGAAAAGTAAATTGATTAAAAATGGAAGTAAAATAATAAAAAATAAAAGTTGCATAAAATTAAAAATAGAAGTTCAATCCAGAAACCACTTTACCTTAACGATCTATTTGGAAATAAAATAAAAAAGGAAGTTTAAAGGAAAACTAAATTGAATAAAAATGGAAGTTGAATAAAAATAAAAATGAAAGTTGCATAAAATTAAAAAGGGAAATTCAATCCAGAAACCACTATACCTTAGTGATCTATTTGGAAATTAAATAAAAAGGAAGTTTAATAGGAAAGTAAATTGAATTAAAATGGAAGTAGAATAAAAATAAAAATGATAGTTGCATAAAATTAAAAATGGATATTCAATCCAGAAACCACTATACCTTAATGATCTATTTGGAAATGAAGTAAAAAATATAGTTTAACAGAAAAGTAAATTGAATAAAAATGGAAGTTGAATTAAAACAAAAA